CTAATGCATGTAACACAAAAACTTCTTTCAAACAATAGGTGGGAAGTTGTCAGCTTCCTCTTCCTTTAAGTAAGTACAGGCGAAATGTGGAAGTTGACTTAAAATTGAAAAGTATATAGCCTAATCAGTGAACTGTTCTGCAGCCATCTCACAGCTGGTTAAAACCAAAATGTAGCTGTAGCCACAGAAAATTAACCTTGCTGAAGCTGTAATCCTTATCCATTTACAGTAATGTTCAGAATCAGCTGTGCTTTTAATTAACATTTGTGATACTGTTCACGACTGTAACGTGAAATGTCACTTTAGTGGTTAATATAGGATATTTTAATGTACCTTCAAATCACTTACATAAATTTTGTATAAATATGATAGTGACTTCTTGTAGCTTAATTTAAAGAAACACTATAGAATGTACAATTATTGCCTCTAACAGGCCAGGAAATTATTTCAGATTAAATAAAGCTTTAGCAAACAAGTATTTCTTGGAATTATCAGTGAGTGGATTTCCTCTGGATTTAGGTTTGTAAATAAATCATATTTATTAAGTAGTCAAAGAGAAAGTGAGGTCATTTTATCAATAGGGAATACCTATTCATATGCAAATGATGGTCTTCATTGATTGTCATTGCTAAGTAGTTAATACTTCTAATCCTATTTTCCTACCTGTTAAGATAAGCTATATACACCGTAATTTTTCTTCACCATTTACATTCTCATGCACTGCAAACAATGTTAGACTGACTTCCTTCTGAAGATAAATTTTGCAATTTTTTTAAATGCCTGAACATAAATAGATTCCAACTAAAACTGCAAAAAGAGGAAGGGGTAGGCGACTAAAAACTGACTGTGATGATGATACCAATCAGGAAGAGAGACAAGACAATTTAAAGAAAGTTTTACAACTCGACAGAAGTAGTGGAAGGATTGTGGTATGTTTTCTGTGGTAGAGTGGTTGTGCTAATGACATAGAATTTCTGGATTAAAAGCTAGGGAATGTACTACTGGGTGAGTTAGCAGCATGCTGCCTGTTTGTGGTTAAGTTAAATGCTGTTTTCTCTCATGGTAGTATACAGAACAATTCCTTTTTTTTTTTTTTTCCCCAGTTCAGTTAGGACAAAAAATTTCAACCTTGTTAACTTCCTTCTTCAATACTAGAGACCTGGGGAATAGAATGGTTCTCAAAGACTGAAATCTGAATAGCTGGTTTGGTGACCAGTTGACTAGAGCTGTCTTAGAACTGCTGTTATTAAGCAGAAGCCTGTGCCTTCTCTGGCAAATAGAAATTCTATCACTGAATTTATAAAATCTCATAAACCCAGAACCCTTTTCTTTTTCAGATGTAATTGGAGTGTGTGTCTTCTGGAACCCTGCACAATTGTATTTTTTATATGTTTATAAGGACAGTGCTACAGAGGTAAGTTCTTATATTGCCAGGTCTGCCAGTTATCTTCAAAGGCCTATTTTGTTCCAATTCAAATATAAAATAGTCTATGTTCTGGGGAGGCTCAAATTATCTCATGCCTATCAGTCTATGATCATTTTGCTGTAAGATAATTGTGTGATCTTTTTTTTTTACAGATGTACATTTGCAGTTTTCTTTCACTGTTAGCTGTTGTGGTTATGTGACTGAATGTGGCCGAGATTACACGCGAAACCACAAGGAGAAATGTTAGCATCTACATAGCAGTGGCCTTTCACAGTTACACGTTTTTAATGTTGTGAAATGATTTTTGTAAAATGCGTAGTTTTAAAAGATATTTTCTTCGGAGATGAAGCCAAGTTAAGAACAGTTTGTACAACTACTAGTTTCCACCCTCAGGCCATAACTATGTTGCTCTCAGAGACGGACCAAAATACTGCATTGCAAACTGACTGCCAAAATGATCTGAGGTTTGTCTGGTTGCCTTAGGCAGAGTTGTGGTTTTCTGGTTTTTTTGCTTATTTGTTTTGGTGTGGAGGGGCTTTTCCATTTAAATTTTCCTAATTGGGATAGCTGCATTATTTCACCTCACTCCTTTTGCTTAGAGCTGCCTGCAGAGTTTATATGTTCATAGGTCTTCGGTTCATACATGGAATATTTTTTTCTCAGTCCTGGAAACTGGGGGGAAAAAAAAAGAATATTAAAATGCTGGAATATGACTAAAAACATTTTCAAAAAGAACATGGTAGGCTTCAACTTCTGCTGAGGAGGCTGTGAAGTAGATCTGATGATGCTTGATTTAGAGTAATCTATTCAAAAGCTGGCCTCCAGAAAATCCTGTAGCAATGTTTTGTACAACTCAAACAACAATTTTAAGTCACAGCTGAGCACTCTATGTGGAGACTTGCAAAATACTTGTAAAGTCGGAGTTAAAAAAAAAACGACAATAACTGTGCTAACCAACCAGCCGTTTGTCCCAGGAGAGCAGGCAAACGGCAGCAGGAAAAGAGGAACTAAGAGTACTTGTGGGGTGGCTCTTTCATCACATGATGTAGCTATAGCCTGATGGCTGCCTATCTTTTCTCCATCGCTTAGACAAGGGTACAGTTATTATTGCATACTGGCAGTAAAAATAGTAACTATTTTGTGTTTTCTTTTCAATGTAACGTGCATCGTCCCTAAACCTGACTTCAGTGCTTTTTTCCTGTTTTGCTTAAGATCATTAACGTGATCTGAGTTTTACTCCATCAAAACCTAAATTAACTCAATGCCTGAGTGTACATTTGCTCAATTTTCTTGAGTTCTGCCATGTGCACTTGTTTTCAGTCAGACCGCAAAGTATTTTTGTAATGTTCTGCCTGCTGCTCTTGAATCTTACAGGTCTGTCCAATGTAAAAGTTTCACTGAAGAAGACTTGGCTAAAGCAGTATGAGTAGTATCTTGGCAAATTCAAAAATTTGGGTGAGAAAAGCTCTTGAGCACTTAGAATTATGCTGAACAAAAAATGCTACAGAGTTTGGATTAAAAACTCTTAAATTTGTGCAGAGATGTCAAGCAGTTGGAAGTTATTTTCTCCGACTCTGGAACAACTGACCTTTCTGCTCCAGTTATGGATGCTGCTCGATACAGACAAATAAAGACGGCAACAGAAAAACAAAACAGCCATTAGGGCTAACTGAAGAGAAGGAAAAAAAAATAGATCTGAGCATTTCTTTTTAACTGAAACTGGCAAATTGTTAAACTGTTGCTATAGAATGATGCACTGTAAATTATAAACTGACATAGTTGGAAGTAACATATCACATTACCTGTCACTGCAAACAAGTGATTAAACTTATGATGACTTGATTAATTTAATAATTCCCAAGTTATGTGTGGTTAAGATAACAGTAAGTATTTGCGCATAGTTTATGCTAAAATCAGCAAAATTATATAAAAGGAAAATTTGTACTAAAAAGAAGTGCATCCCAAAGAAAAGTTTAGAACTGAGGACATTAATGGAGCTGGCCTATTTTATAACCTACTGACTTTGCTGCAAAGATTCTAATCTGATTTTTGAGACCCCTGCAAGTTTTAGAGCTGCCATTTTATTTGAAAGTTGGTATTGTCAGATTTTACCAACAGGTTTTCACTGTTGGATTTTTTAAAAAAATATTATTTCATCCAGTACACAGGTACGCCTCAGAGAGTCACAAGAAATGCAGACAGCTATTTGAATCTCAGGCATGCTTTAACTACGTGCATATGAGACAGAGATGGGGAAAATTCACTGTACTGGTCTCGCTTGCCTTTTATAAAAGAACAAGCCCACTGTGGAAGCAGTGCTGAGTTGGGACCCTTTCCTAGAGGGCAATCAAGTAATACGCTTTTATCTAAATTTGGACTCCAAAGATTTGTGTATTGCCTTTGTCCCACCAAAACAATAGATGATGATTGTTTTCATAACTGTTTTCTCAGTATTACTTAACAAGCATAGATTCAGCTATACCAACACAAAATCTGTACTTTTCTCTTTTTAAAATAATGATTAATACAAAGACATCTGTCAGCATGAGCTCTCTAATAATCAGGCACGTGATCCTTATTTCCACTATCCACACTGATACGTCCACGCCGCGATCTTCAGCGCATAGTGAGGCTCAGCCAAAGGGATTCTCTAATCCACAGAAACGGTTCAGGCAATTTCTTCCATTGTTGTGAAGCATGAACATGTGTAGATGACTCAAGATACTGGCGACTAGAGTTCTCAAATTTGAGAGGGAAAAAAAAATTCAGTCTTTTGTTTGTGGTAACTGTAGTGGTGTAACTAAAATTGAGCTACTGTTATCCCTTGTGTCTCATGTGTTTCCAAAATAAAATACAGGGAAACATACCTAAGTCAGAGCCACCTCATCGGCAAACCCTCCCTGTGCGAAGCGCCTGGGCACCCCGCTCACGGGGCCCAGCACCTGCTGCGCCAAGCAGGTCAGATGGAGACAGGGCTTTTCACGAAAGCCCGTCCTACCACAGCCGCCTCCGGCCGCCTCAGCTCTCTCCCCGCCCACGGACCGGCCAACGCCGTCTGAAAGCAGACGGCCAAGCGCCGGTCTCGGCCCCTCCTCCTCCCAGCAACCTGAGGAGCGACTCAGGTGGGAGCCCTCGGGATAAATCCACCTACACGCCGGCTCCGTGCTGCCAAAGCCCGGGCCGGTCAGTTCTGTTTCACACTTCACCTTTCCAGCGGGCGTTTCTGTTGGAAACCCCCGAGCTCCGCCATTTCCTGAGGGGCAGCGCCGGCCCTCCTCGCTCCCGCCCTTCGGGCGGCGGGCCGCCGCCTCCGCTTCCCTCAACAGCGCACGCGCCGCGCGCGGGCACATGCGCCATAGCGCCGGCGGGGCGGCGCGCGTGCGCGGAGGCGTTCGGCGTCTCTGAGGCGGCGGATTGGGAGGAGGCGGCGGGGCAGCGGGACCGGGAACTGCTCCAGCTGCGGCCGGGAGGGGACGGGGAGGTGCCCGGTGGTGCGTGTCGGTCCTATGGGGCCTTGAGGATACAGCCCCGGTGAGAGAGGGGGTTTCTGCTGGGGCGCAGAGCCGGTGGGAGGATGGAGGGTCAGGCGGCTTCGGGCGCTGGCGGGGGGGAGGAGCCCCTGGGCTCTGGCAGGATGAACCCGAAGCGGAGTGGGCGCGCCGCGGAAGAGGAGAGCCGGAACAAGCCCAAGCTGGTGAGCGAGCTGTGGGGCTGGGAGGGCGGCAGGGGACGGCCTGGGGACGAGGAGGAAGGCGGGGGAGGAGGAGGCTCGGATGCCGTCTTACTGCTTCCCAAGTAGAGAATCTGGGGCGGAGGGGCGTGCGGCCGGGCCTGGGGGGCGCCGGGCTTTCGGGGATTAAAGGATCTTTTTTAAAAATCTGGTGCGCTTCCGTGAGGGTTTTTGGGTGCTCTTTGGGAGAGGGAGGTGACAGCTGGAGGGGGGCGTGCGGCGCGCTGAGGGCCGCGCTGCGGTAACGCACCGGGGGTGGTCGCTGACAGGAGCCGGGAATTCCCATCTTCCCGTGAGGGGTGCGGTACCGGGAGGCTTCCCGGCGGGTGTCGCTGGGGCCCTCCCTTAGGGAGAGGTGCGGTAACAACGTGGTTCTGTCAGCAGGACCTGTTGATGTAACCTCTGTCCTGCTCGCCTTTTGAGTGAAAGATTACAGGGTTTTTCTTTTTTTTTTTTTTTTTCCCCCTGTGTTGAAGCATCCAGAATATTGGTGGTTATGATGCAAGCGATCTGCTTCCCAAGTGAACTTCTGAATTAATGTGAAAATAATTTAAGAATTTGGAAATTGTTCAGTCTTTTTGGAAAGATCCGACAAGCTCTTGCGCACACAAACCATCTTTAGGACTGTAGAGTTTGTTCATTATGCCTGTGCTTTTTTTATTTAAAAGAAGATATTTCTACTTACAAACCTGATAACTTGAAACATAGGTATCTTTCAAAGCCAACAGCACTGGATTGTATCTCGTTTTATAAATAAAGTAGCAGCAAAAACAGATAATATGACAATGTTTACTTTTAATTGTTTACTCCTGTTACACTTATTTCTTTTAACTTTGAATCAACTCATTTTAACCCAGTTCTCTGATGGATTTTCAAGAGCAGCAGTGTAGCAGACAAAACTTACCGGACTTTTCTTACTGAATAGGATACTAGTTGCAAACTTTATTTAATCTGTGCAAGGTTTTTCACAGATAATGGTAAAACTAAGTCAATAAGTAAGTGCTCCCACCTTGTGTTCCTTTCTTCGAGTATAGTGCAGTAGAGCCTTGGGCTGATCAGCATGAAAACTGTGGGGGTTTTTTTGTCACTGAAAACTAAGTTAGAGTCCATGTGGGGAAGGTGTTAAATTCGTAATGTATGAGGCATTAAAAAGTTACTGAGGGTGACAGTTATTTAAAAGGATGACAGAATGCCAGAATACTGAATAACTTGAAGTGTACTTGTATTAAAAGTGACCATGTATATCTTAGCAAAAGGTAACCAAATATGATGTCTTATATTGTTTTATGGTGTTATTGGAAACAAACTCATACTTCCTGGCATAGGATAAATATAAATAAACTTCTTCATATAAACAAGATGTTTGTTTATGTTTATGCTACCTTTACTATATCCTAGCTGAAGTAGCTAGGAAGGCTGCTTGAAGATGCCTGCAGGGAAGTGATTTACAAATCACATAGGGAAGTGCTTCTATTGAAAGCTGTGGATACAAATTTGAATTTTGCTCTAGCGGAGGAGGACACTTTGTTCTGAAAGAAGTGCATAGTTTAAAAAATCCAAGTGAAATGAGTTCAAAATTGGATTGAAGAGGACAACTATTTCCATTGCATGTTCTTTTCAGTTATTCTAGAATCACTAGAGTAGGCTTTTATTGTTACATATAGTGGAAAAAGTACGTTATGTTAATATTTGACTATATGCAGTCATATGCTTTCTTGAGGGGATGATTACAGTCCAGCAGCAACATGGCTCAGAATAGTGGTATGTTGCTTGAACCAGATACCTTCTGAAATAAAGTTTTGCCCTGAGATAAAGTAACTAGCCTCTGATGATATAGTTGAGTGAATGGGTTGAATGGGAAAGTAGATTTTTTTTTTTTTTTTTTTTTTTTTTTTTTTTTTTTTTTTTTTTTTTTTTTGTCCCTGTTCTGGACACAATGTACACAAATGGTATATAAAACTGATGTGAAGAGGGATTTACCTCTGAGGAAGAAAAGGGATGGGATTCAGGTGTGTTTTAAGTTGAAGTAGTGTGAGTGGACAGCCAGATTTATCAATTACTGCCATGGGTTTGTGAGGGAAGAACAAAACTGGAATCAGGGAAAGGCTTCATCCATTATATAGGAGAATAATCTTACTAAATTTTGCTGGCTTTAATTTTGAATGAGGAATTGGTTCTGCTGAGGCTAGCAATATCTTTTGGTACTCATAGAGCAACCTTACTTCTAACTCATCCCTGCTCTCTTCCCTGTGCAAATAAGATGAAGGTGTATTTGGGACTTCTGTAAGAGAAGCCACGCTATTTGTGCAAGTGTTGTCACTGAGTTTGTATACAAAGTTCGGAGTTCGGTGTGGAGGTTTTCTTGGTTCATCTTCATAACTTAAAATTCATCAAGTTTCAGTAGAGTTACAGAGATGAATCAACCTGCACTCTGTCAGTTTGTTGCGTATAATTCAAGGAGCTCTACAGTGTGCTGAGAGCAGTGTGTCTTTTTTCCAGAACTTATTTCACACATCAAGTGGAGTGCTGAACAAGGGCTTGGTGGGAGAGGGTGTGCAACTACATGTAACAGAAGATTTATTTTTAGTTCCTGGCATAGCAGCTGAAATTAGGCAAGTCATTGGGAAGAAGTCTAGGGGAATGATTTTTATATGATAGACTAAAAATGGCTTTAGATGATGGGGAACTGGGAAAGCTGAAGTCCTTGTTTTGGGGGAAGGGCAACTCTAGAAGAAGAAGGTGGAAGTTTTTTGTTTCCCCATCCCCTCCATCTGAAAGTAAAAGGTGGGCAGTGGTGCTTGGCCTGCAGAAGCATGGTGGTTTAGTGGTTTTTGTTTTGTTTTGTTTTGTTTTTTTAGGACAGAAGCCTGATCAATGGCATTTATTCCTGATTGACAGGAAGTGAGACTAGGCTATTGAGAGAGGATCTGTGCTAGAAAAGAAAATGGTGGTTTAAAGTGTTTTTCTGTAAGATAATTGATGCATAGGTATGCACAGAAATAATTAAAGATAGGCCACATTAGAACTACTAATTCCCTTTTCTTTCCTGCTTTGGGTCATTTTGAGAGTCATTCAAGTTTCATGTAATTTGTTGAACATGACAGAACTGCACAGTGAAAATTTAGTTCCAGTTTTTATACTAGTAGTGTGTATAATGGAGTATTTTTCTAAAATTTAATGTCTGTCTTATGAGCACCTTGACACACCACAGCTGCTGAAAGAGCTTTGATTTAATCTTTTTTCTCATTTTTTGCTGGCACAAGGTCTGGAGGTGGGAATGAGTGCCTGGTGGTTTTGTCATTATTTTTGTTTACAATGAAATGGGCAGAAAAATATTAAATTGTTTTGGCAAACAATCATCTGATCTCATGCCAGCCCTGAGAATAGGTTGGCATGAGATGGTAATGAGCAGTTACATTCTTAACTCAGTTTGGCAATGTGCTTGTTTTGCTTGTTTAAAAGTATGCTTGTTATACTAGGGGAAACAGACTAAATTAAGGTTGTCAGGGAGATTGCTGGAATTCTGTGTTTGTGGATTCCTATGTTTGTTAATCCTTAACTTAGATGTTGTTTGCTCTCCTTAACACTTTAGTATCACATGGGAAGTATATAATTCTGTTGGGTGCCCAGGAAATCAGCAAGTGCTTGAAAGCGTTGGGTCTGATTTGACACATCTGTTGTAGCTTAGCTGAACCCAAAGTCTTATAAAATTGTTCATCATTTTAGCTGAGAACTTGAAGCCAGGCTTTTTACAGAAGTTCATGGCAGAAGAACAGGTGACAGAGGTCATAAAAAGGAGCAGGAGAGGTTGCTGGAGAGGAGACAGTATAAGGGGACAAAATCATTTGAAGGATGATTAAGCACTGGTTGACCAGAGACACTGGAATCCCTGTCCTTGCAGGTTTTCAAGACCTGAAAACCTGGACAAAGCCTTTAGCAGCCTGGCTTCAATTCTGTGTTGACCCTGCTTTTTGAGCAGGAGTTTGGACTAAACTGGAGAAGGAATGAGATCCTTTCAAATGTCTGTGATTCTATGAATCAGTACTTGAAAAAAAGATGTTATAACAGGATTTGTGGTGCTTCCTGACTATTAGAACACTGGCTAACTAGAAGTTAATATGGCCAATGTTTTTTTAATTAAAGTTAATAATAGATTGTGTCAGTTTACTATTAGCATAAGTAGAAATAATTCTTTGCATGTAGTGGTTAGTGCCATGGTAAAAGCATGTCCCATTACCCCCAAGTTCACTTCAGGTTCGTGTGGTAGTTGTTCAGTGATAGATATTTCACTTAGCTACGAACTAAATTTCTAAAAGGGGCTGTTTTCTGAGTGTGGTGCTGTATTTAAAGGTAGATTAGGAGAAAGATCTTGTATAAATGAAAAAGAAATTGTTAGGGCTAAGAGAGAGATTTATTTAATTGGAGAGCAAGTGGATTTGGTGATTCATCCAACAAGGAGCAACTCATACTTTGTTTTAAAAGCAGAAATTGTTTATGCTTAATACTGAAGTCTTCTAAACCCCGTGAGCTTTGAGATGAATCAAAAGCTATGAACTCAGCATTCTGACTAATGTGCCATAAACTAGCGTCAAACAGTGGAATGAAAGCTTTTATCAATTAGCTTAAAAACAGAAGTAAACTGAGTGTGTTTGGGAGGATACGTTTCCCAGCGACGACGTTGCTCCACCCATATCAGTGCAGGAGTTAACGAGTGCATTAAATATGTGTCAGTAGTACAGTCATTGTCAGACAGGCTATGTGCTACAGGACCTACACTGCACCGTCACCTTTGACTCCTCAGGTTGTTTCATGTCATTTTCCTGTGGACACATAATGTGCTCATTACACATGACTTGTTTAGATGTTTGTATACTACATACATGAACTATGAGTCAGGTTGAGCAGGGATTTTTGGCAAATGAATAAAATGTATTACATTGGAGATCATAGTGTCTCTGAGTAAA